GCCCGGCCCCGCCCCCGCTGACCCACGTCCCGCCCCTCTGCAGGTGGGTGGCCTATCAGGACGTGGGCTTCTCCGGGGAGCAGTACGTGCTGGAGAAGGGAGTGTACCGCAACTGCGATGACTGGGGCTCGGGCAACAGCGCCCTCGCCTCGCTGCAGCCGGTCCTGCAGGTGCGGGCGGGGCCTCCGCGAGGGGCGGGGCTTGACGTGAGGAAGGGGGTGGAGTCTGGAAGGACAGCCCTCGGCGCTCTGGGGGCGTGGCCTGAGAGGGCGTGGCCAATGCCCGCTTGGGAGACCGGAGCCACAACTTGAAGACAGCGGTCCTGACTTTCGGGCCTGATCTCCTTACGTCTGGAAACTTTGGTCCCTCCTTTCAGGTCGGGGAGCACAATCTGCACTTTGTCTCAAAGGTAAGGGGTGGAAGAGTCTCCCCTCATTTAAAATCCTCCCTCTTTAACGCGTGCGCTCCCTCTGCTCTGCCGCGCCCCTTCGCGCTCATCTCCCCTTTCTGCCCCAGATCCAGCTTTTCTCGGGTCCCGACTTCCTGGGAGACCACATCTCGTTCGAGGATGATCAGGCCTCTTTGCCCGCCTCCTTCCAGGCCCAATCTTGCCGTGTCCACGGCGGCAGGTGAGTGGGGGCGGGGTCAGGGAGAGGGTGCAGGTGGAGGCACCTATCCTGAAGCATTTAACAGTTAAGTCTTACCTCAGTGTGGGTGGCAGAAGAAAGGTCTTTCCAGTAAAGGGATGATTTCCCTTCCGGAACCTCCTTGAGACTTGTCTGTTCCGTCTTGAGGCGTTCAAGTTTCAAACACAAACTAAACTAAGGCTGTAATAACCCAAACCAAATCAAACCCACTGCCAAGCAATCCATTCTCTCAGGATGACCCTCTGTCCGTTTCCGAGGCTGTGAATCTTTACTGGAGCAGACAGCCTCATCTTTCTCCTGTGGAGTCGCTGGTGGGTTTGAACTGCCGACCTTGTAGTGAGCAGCCCAACGTGAGCTAACAGTACCACCAGGGCGCTGAGGTTATAATGCCCCGTTGTCGTCCAGTGGCTAGGAGTTGGAATCGATTCCCTGCCAGTGTTTTTGCTTTTATTTTGACCCTTGATTTACAGCAAGCCCGTGCAGGGTTTCTGAGATTGTAGATCTTTACAGGAGCAGACGGCCCCAGCATTCTCCCACAAATCGCCCCGCAGGTTTGTACGACAGGCCTTGTGGTTAGCAGTCCCACAAGGCCCAGACAGCACCCGCCCTCCCCCAGGCTCCTTAGAGTTTTCATGGAAAGCATGCAGACCTAGATAATAGAGTACCACTAGCCTCCAGCTTGCTTCTTCTATCCCTCCGCTCTATGTGGGTGTGTGATTGAAAATCCCAGACCCATCATCAAACATCGCCGGTCAACACTTCAGTATCTGTCGCTTCTAAGAAGCGTCTCTTCCCTGCACAGCCCCCAGTTATCATCTCCTAACAGCAACCAGCGCTGCAGGCAGTGGCCGGCCTCCTGCTGTGTCATCTCAGGTTTTGCAGCGCACCCTGAGGTGGTGGTGGTGGTTAGGTGCCCTCTGTACAGCAGAGCAAAGCACTGCCCGGTCCTGTGCCACCCTCACAACGGCTCTTATGTTTGAGCCCATCGATGCAGCGATTCTTAGAAAGGAGAATGTGGAGTCGATGCCCTTAGGGGCTCCACGATTTCATCAGTCCGGTCTTGTGTCTGACCGCAGTCCCTGCCCCTGCGGTGCATTTTTCTTTGACCTCTCCCGTGCTGTTCCCATGCAGGCTGACCTGAGCAGACTGGGAGTAGGGTTGGCTCACCTCCCACTCACCCTACTTCTTCTTGCCCATCCCCAGCTGGATCCTGTTTGATGAGAAGAACTTTCAGGGTGACCAGTACATTCTTTCTGAGGGCGAGTTCCCCACGCTCACGGCCATGGGCTGTCTGGCCTCCACGGTCCTGGGCTCTCTCCAGAAGGTCCCTCTGGTGAGTGTCCCTGTCCCCCTGGGCAGCCCCTGAGACAGGGAGAGCTGCTGGGCAGTCCTGGGCACAGACCCTCTTCTGAGTTCCCTCCAGTCTTCATGCAGACCACCAGATCCCCTTGAGCCTGGAGGGCTCAGAGCCAGTTCGGCCCACTGGGTGGGTATTGAGCTGCTGCTGCTAGGTGGTGACGTGGTGTGGTGGCGTGCACGTCGCTGGGTGGGTCCCTACTCAGAGCTAACCTGTACCCCAGAGCCGAGAGGGCCGCTGTCTTTCCTAGGCTGTGGTCTTTGTTTTTGTTTTGTCACATCTTACCATGAGTTAGGGGGGTGTACATTTCAGACCCTCATTTCTGACGGATTCAAACGGCCCACCTTCTAGTTTCCAACCCAGTGCTTAACCATCACACCACCAGGGCACCTTGGTCCTGAAATAGGGGCCCGGGAAGAAATTAGACACAGCCCCACCTCCAGGGACCCTGTGTCAAGTGAATATAAAGATGATCATGGGGATAGTGCGGGGGTCCAGATACAGAAGTGGATGGGGGCAAGGAGGGGTGTTGCTGCTCAGGTGGGGGAAAGCCTGGCACAGCTGTGGGGAAGGTGGGTGAAGGGCATGACCCAGTGTGCATGGGCTTGGCCTAGGCTGAGGAAGAGGTTATATCACGCGTGGAGTCTGTAGAACTTGGTGACTGAGTGGCCAGGCCAGGTAGTGGTGCCTGGGCACTGCAGCTGGCAATGCCAGGCATGTTTAAAGGGCTCCCCATATACTAAGGCATGTGGTCCTCACCACACCCCTGTGAAACCCGCTATGAGGAGGATCTCCCTTTTACAGGCACAGAGGGGTTACTCAAGGTTATCCAGCCGGTAACTGGCTTTGCCAGACTTTAACCCGGGCAGCCTGGCTTCAGAGTCCACACTCTGCGACACGGTGGCCTTGGCAGACAGACCTGGCCCTGAAGCCAGCTTTGGAGCCTTAGCAAGTGTTGACCTTCTCCAGCCTCAGTTTCCCTCTCACGCTAGTAGTGTCTGCCTTTTAGGGCTGTGGAGAAGTCACGGGGCGATGAGGGGACAGACGCACATAGTCCCAGAATCCCACGTCGGATAGGTGAGAAGTGCTCTGTTCACCCACCGGCCCTATTATAGTGATTGTTACATGGTGCCCACATGGTGTACTATTATAGTGATTGTTACATGGTGCCCACAAAAAGGAGGCCATCTGAGGTGAGCCCCAGGGTTCTTCCAGGGCTGTTCGTCCCCCCGTGAGGAAGTGTGAGGGGGACTCCGGGCCCTGCCGACCAACACACGCTGCCCCTCAGAACCCGTGGCACCAGCCTGCAGTGTGGGCAGTCAGCAGGCCTGCGCGTGGAGCTCACGTGTCTTGTCCTCAAGAAGATGGCCTGAAATACAGACCTGATGCCGAGGGCGCTGGGCCTGGCCTCATCCCTCCTCCCTTGCCTCTCCCCCGCCCCCACCCCCCAGCACTTTTCCGAGCCCTCTCTTTTCCTGTACGGGCTGGAGTGCTTCGAGGGGAAGGAGATTGAGCTCAGCGGTGAGGTGCGGAGCCTGCAAGCTGAGGGCTTCAACAACCACGTGCTGTCGGTGCGGATCAAGGGGGGCATGTGAGTGTGCTTAGGGGACCTGGGGGATGCTGGGGGATGAGGCAGATTCCCCCAGGGAATGCAGCCTGGCCCCTCCCTTCTGGTTCCACCGGGAAGGAGGGAAAAGGAGCTGAGCCCTTCAGGCCACAGCTGGCCTTTCTTTGCCGTGCAAATCCCAAGTCCACTTCCAAGTTCCCTCCCCACCCTCAGGAACTAACCCTTCCACCATCCCGCCCCCCAAAAGCTGAGGAATCCTTGGATGGGTGAAAAGGAGGTGGGGAAGGCTCTGACATCCATGTTTCCCCTCGTCTGTCTGTCTGTCTGTCTGTCGGTCTATGTGCACTCCCCTCTGTGTCTGGTATTTGCCGGGCCCAGCTGGGTGCTATGTGAGCACAGTGACTTCCGGGGCCGCCAGTGGCTGGTGGGCAGCTGTGAGATCACCAACTGGCTGACGTACAGTGGGACGCAGAGGGTGGGCTCTCTCTACCCCATCAAGCAGGTGAGCAGCATCTCTGGGACTGAGCGTGTCTCTCAAGCCCTGTCTGGGCGTGTCTGCCGGGTGTGATCCAGCCGTGCGCAGTGTGTCGGTCAGGGTTCCACGGAGAAGCAGATTCCATCGCTCTCTACACACACACAGTGGTGCATGTGCATGTTGTATGTGGATGTGGCATGTGGATGTTGTGTGGGCAGGTTGCATGTGTGTTGCATGCATATTGCACATGTGTATGTTGTGTGTATATTTTGTGTTTGTTGTGTGTACATGTCATGTTTATATGTATGTGCATGCATAAGGTGTGTGTATACAGTGTATGTTCTATGTACTTGTGTAGCAATATTGTCTGGTTCTCTGTAGAACCTGGGCTGGTAGACACATGTGAGCTTTTGCTCTCTCTAATATATGTATATATCTATATGTGTATGTGTGTGTGTGTGTGTGTGTATGTGTACTCCTAGGGAGAATATAACATATGTCCATATTCACAGAATGAGAAGGAACAGAGATGAATTAGCGCCCAAGATTGTAGGCACTCGAAAGTTTGCAGTCTCTCGGCTGGCCAGCTGGAAACTCAGGCCGGCTTCCTGTGTTAGTCTTGAAGCAGAGTCCCCTCCTTCTGCTGTGAACAGCAGTTTTTCTCCTAAGACCTTCACGGGGTCGGGGGAGGCCTTGCCCGCCTGCCTGGATGTATCTCCATCACTGAGCGTGCACAGAGGGGAACTGATGAAATCACATCGACACAGTACCTTCAGGGCAACAACACCCAGACTCGTGTTTGACCAAACAGCCAGGCCGTAGCTGAGCCGAGAGGACACAGAACATGAACCCTCACCAGCACGGGCACAGTTGGCACCCTCATCACTCCTTCTTGCGGAAGCTCTACCGACTTCATCTCTGTCTCTGAATCAGCTCACTTCAGAGACAGTACCTCGTCTGACAAGATAAGACCCATGAACGCCTGGCTTTGCCAGACACGCATTCGGTTTCTACTTCGTAGACACGCACATAGGAGGGGGCTTTTGTGGAAATGTTTCATTATCTTTCCATTTCACTTATCCATGAACTTTTTGAGGCCCCCCTCCCCATATTTGAATTTTATGATTTTAAGCTTATTCATATAGGTGTGGAAATGACCTTATGTGCCATGTATGCTTTGGCTACACTGATTCTGCATACATGCGCGTGCTTGCAAGGGCCCCTTGGGCCTGCGTTGGCTCATGCCTGCACTTCTGGGGCCCTGGTAAGAGTGTGTGTCCCTGCATGGAGGTGGCTGTGGTCACTCACACAGTATTGCTGGAAGAAATCTTAGCGTCTCTCTCTACACATCACATGTTCTCAAAAACTCCCTGCCATCAAGTGGATTCATAGTGACCCTACAGGACAGGGTAGAACTGCCCCTGTGTTTTCAAGACTATTACTGTTTACAGGAGTAGAAAACCCCGTCTGTCTCCCGAGGAGCAGCTGGTGGTTTCGAACTTCAGACCTTGAGGATCGCAACCCAACCCATAATCACTATGCTGCCCGGTCTCCTTAAAGTTTAGAGCTAGGGAAAGAAAAGGCCAGAGATGTACACAAGGACGTGGCCTGCAACCTTGGGCAAGGGTTGTACTTCCATGAGCCTGGTTTTCCTGTCTTTAAAATCGGGTCCTTTGTGCCACGGGTTGCTGTGAGCACTGGCAGTAAGTGTAGAGTGGACACGCCCTTAGGACAGGTAGGTGCATGCACACACTCTGAGAACCGTAGCTGCGGTGATTCTGTTGTTCTCACTACCACCCCCGACTGCAGGCTGATTTGTGGCAGAGCCAGGTCTCCCGTGGTGGTGTCTGGTGTGTGTGCCTGTCTGGGCTTCTCCCTTTGAGCCTCAGCCCTTTGAGCAAGCCCAGTGCCTGGCCTGGAGCAGGCCAGGCCAGGGCCAGCTGTGCACTTGGACAGTTGTTTGAGTCTGCTGTGAATATCCGGTCCAACATGTGCACTGTGGGTGCGTCTGTCGTGGGGCTGTCTGTACCTGCCCGTGGGGGTATCTGTGGGCATGGAGTTAGGGGTGTGTGCTGTGCATGTATTTGTGGTTATTTGGGCGTGGAAGAAGGGGTAGCTTAGGAAGGTTGAGGGGCAGGGAGGAGGCCGAGGAGCTGGGTTCTGGGGCCTCCAGAGTTGGGCATGCTGGGGGTAAAGCAGGAGCAGCCCTGACCAAGGACCCCGACCCTTGGCTCTCCTCCCCACTAGCGCCGGGCTTACTTCCGCCTCTGGAATGCAGCCTTGGGGGGCTTCCTGGCAGTGCCGGACCACGTGGAGGACATGAAGGCAGGCCGGGTGGTGGTCTCTGAACCCCGAGCTGGAGGCAGCTGCATCTGGTACTACGAGGAAGGACTACTAAAGAACCAGGTACTCCCCAAAGGGCTGGGACAGGGTCCCCGGCACTCACCTGACCCCCCTGGGGAGTCCCAGGCCAGTCAGGAGCAGGGCACACCCTGGCAGACAGAGATGCCCAGCTGCCTGGGAAGGTGGAGAATGCAGGCTGTGCACACCAGGAGACCTATGTCCTTAGGCCTCAGACTGCATCTGCAGAGCCCATGTGGTGGGCCAGCCACTCCTGTTAGAGCCCCGAGCCCTGGTATCCTGTATCCAGACGTGAACCCTGCCAATCATGAGGGGCTTGCTCCTCAGTTAACTGAGCCCCTTCCATGGGGGCCAGTCCTTGGTCCTGGGAGTACACCAGTGAGAGGCAGAAAGGAGCCCGACGCTCTGCCGTGCTCAGCCAGGAGCAGCAATGGGAACGAGTAAACGGTCATAGCAGCTTACATGCTGCCGGTGCTGGAGAGGACTGACAAATCAAGCGCAGCAGGAGAATACGGAGGGTCAGGGAGCTGAAGTGTTGCCCAGAGTGCCCAAGGCAGCCCTTCTGAGCAGGTGCCATTGGAAGGCAGCTGTGCAGATACCGAGGAAAGAGAAGAGCGTTCTGGCAGAGGAGAGCTAGTGCACAGGCCCTGCGGTGGGAACCTTAGTCCTTAGTCCTTCTCTAGGACTAAGCCAGGCTACCCGAGGGGCTGACGTGACGTGGCTGAGGGAGAAAGTAGCAGGAGATGAAGTCAGCAGGCCATGAGGGGTGTCGCTCTTTGTAGACCGTAGACGACATTTCTTGCCTTTCCCTTGGCCTGCCAGGGTACACTTACCGGGTGGAGGCACTGCATTCACCAGCTCCTGTGCATATGGCATAGAATCTCTCCAGAACACCACGGGCAGTCCTGTGATGCTCCTTGTTGCAGGGAGGAACCCAAAGCAGAGAAGGAAGTCACTTGCGGGCAGTCGCAGCACTGCTAGCTGGAGCTGGGCTCCAGGCTTATCTGATGGGAAAACCTGGAGGAGCTCATGGTCATACCTGAGTAGCCCTGGGGGTAGGTTAGCACTGGGCTGCCAAGGTGGAAGGTCATCTGTTTGGACCTACCAGCCACTCCCAGGGAGAAAGCTGTAGCAGTCTGCTGCCTGCAGGATCAGGATTCCTGTTTCAGAAAGCCTGCGGGCCAGTTCTCCTCGGCCCTGACCGCAGAATTCACACCCCAGTGTGCTAAGGGCCTCTGGGTTGATGGAGTCCCTGTGGGAAGGAGCAGTGTCTGATACCCTCGGGGGGCTCAGGTGGCCCCCACCATGAGTCTGCAGGTGATCGGGCCCCCCAGCTCGGGCTCCAAGGTGGTGCTGTGGGCTGAGAGCCGCCTGCCCCGCCAGACGTGGAGCATCAAGGAATCAGGCCACATCTGCAGCCAGATGTTTGAGGACAGGATCCTGGATGTCAAGGGTAGGTGGTGGACGTGTGGGGAGAAGACGCTCCAGGGGCTGAACCAGCCATCTCTAGCATATCTGACCACCCTTCTCCCACCCACCTCCAGGAGGCCGGGGCTATGACCGGGACCATGTGGTGCTATGGGAGCCCACCAAGGACAGGGCCTCCCAGATCTGGACCATCCACGTGCTTTGAGCTCCACCACCACCGGGGCCTTGGAGGCTGTTGCTGAGACGAACTTGCCTTTACAGGTTTTGTTGTTGTTGTAACATAAGCTATTTTCTAATATACTCCTGCGTACCCTCATCTCAGTGCATCCGGGTATTTGGGCGGCCAGGAGTGGAGGGAACAATGCTCAGAGCCAATTGCCTAAAACACGCGGCTGCCTTCTCCCCTGCTCCAGGTCTGAGGCTCAGGTGCAAGGCCTCTCTCTGCCAGCAGAGGGAGCCCTGCGGCTGGACAAAGTGCTGAATGTGGCACTTGATGCAGTCCTGCTAAATGATGCGCCTAACCAAGTCTTAGCTGGGTGGGGGGCTTCCTGGAGCCTCCGTAACTGGGCATGTCCAGGTTGGGGTGAGCCCGGGCGGTTGGGGGTGGGGGTCCTCAGGGACCATCATTCCCAGATACCAAGAGACAAATGAAGCAAAAGCAACCGGACAGCAAGTCTGGGTCTCCTCCCTGCCCCTGCAAGGTCATTCTAAGGGGAGGATCCTTCAGCCTGTGGATTTGCAGAGGGAAACCGCGCTGTCCACTCCCTGGGGCCACTACTCCAGCCCAGCTCCTAGGGCCCCTAACTTCCAGAGAGCACACACAGGCCCCGCTCCAAGGATAGGGATAACTTTATTGAGCCTCAGCTGGGTGGCACGGTGCCCCATGCGCATCAGGACTTCTCCACTTTAGCCACTGCCCCCAAGATGCTGCCCTGTTGGTTCCCGCAGCCTGGCGATTTCGGGCATCCAGCCTTCCCAAGGGTTAGATGGGGAGGGGATCTTCTTGCTAGTCATGGTGGCAGCTGTTTCTTGGGGACGGGCGGAGGGATTCTTCAGCCAAGATGGAAGAGGTGGAGGAGGGTGCCGGCCAGGAGGAGGAAGAAAACATTGCCCATGCCCAGGCCATCGAGGGCAGAGGCCCCACTGGTTTTCACGATGCTGGTCTTATTTGCCTTGTCATTCGCTTGCGTCTGTCAGGGGAGAGGAGGGAAATCTCAGGGGACTTTTGTTATTTAAGGGCACAGTCCCTCCTCCTCCAGTCAAACCATGCCGGTGCCCAACCCTTTATTTCACTTCTCCCAGGCCACCAGCTCTTTCAGGCTGGAAGGACCCAGGAGAACATGTGCCCTCCCTGGGTTCTGTGGGGAGGCAGGCCCGGTAGCCGTGCCCTTGACTGCAGTGCACAAATGAGGGATGGGACCACCAGGTCCACATCTTCTTTAGGGAGAAGAGGCCTTTCCCGTTGACGGGCCACATGAGACGGCATTGAGGGAAGGCACTGGATTAAGGGTGACTGGGTGGGTGGGTGGGCAAGGTGGCACGTTCTCCCCGAAGGGATGGCCAGAGGGTGACCGAGCTGCTCTCAATGCTTGATCAAGCTGTTCCTGATGGAGAGCAAGGTGCTTCTGATGGGAACCCACGGAGCACAAGCTTGATGGCTGCTGCCCCCTGGGCCCACTAGTCCCCTGCGGCCAGAGCTGGCTCCCAGGCCAACAGCGAACGGCCGAACTGAGATCCAGTCGTTTCTCAGCTGAGAGATTGCGCTCCTCTTTGCATTCCCCAAGCACCCAGGCTTCCCTCCCCTGTGGAGTCCCCCCTCACACACACACCTGAGCAGCTTCCCTGGGCAACATCCTGCTTCCCCTCCCCAAAGCCATCTCCCCAAGCTCCTTGTGGGCAGATGCCACCCTCGTGTAAGGGTGTCGTCTGAACTCTCCTGATCCCCCATGGCTTCCCAACACCCCTCAAGTGCCCCCATGTGCTCTGCACACCCTGTAAGTTCTCTCCAGTCTCAACCACCAAGCCTCAGCCCAGGGACAGCCCGTCCAGAGGCGCAGGAAAGCTGGGCACCCAGCTGGGGCCTCTGGGTCTCTGCTCCTATGGCGAAGGCTGAGTCCCCTGGGAGCCTGCGTTCCTCCCCCCTTTCCTAGGCAGGTATGGGGAGCTCTGGATGAAGGTGCCAGGCGGGGTCTAAGTGTGGGGGGGCAGCGGCGCTGTTCTTACCTGAGTAATGAACAGAAGGCTGAGGGTGAGGAGGAGGAGGAGGAAGAAGCCCTTCATCTTGGGAGAATGTTGGAGGTGCTTTTGCTTAGAAGCCTTTGGAGATGAGCACAGGGCTGTCTGTGTGTCTGTTTCAGCTTGGCTGCTTTTGAACCAGGAAGCGGAGGAGGCGGGGTGGTAGGAGAGGAAGGAGGGTGGGCAGAGCACTTGGAACCGCTACTTTTCTGTGGGCCTGGGCACTGATGGTGCCAGATCCTGGGCTTGAGCGAGGCCCTGGCGCAGATGATGTTTTCGGGATAGGGACCAAGTTGAATTCCAAGGAGTAGGAAGTGAGCAAACCAAGGGGACAGCTGTAGGACAGTGGCCAGGGCCCTGGCTGGGAGCCACGGATTCAGGGGACTGACCGGAAGACCCTGGGTCAGACTGTGTACCTGTCCAGGCCTCTGACAAATAGCTGCCAGGCGAGTCGAGGCCGTAGTCCACTGA